TCTTTGAAGGCATTTATCATCTTGCTCCTTTTGTATATGTTAACATCAGCTGCCCAAATTAATAAATTTTTACACCCTCCCAGGTATGTATTTATCATGGTTCATACCCATGAATGTCTTCGTAAGAACGGCAATGTATGGTATCAGTCTTCCTCGGTACATTTCTCTGCATACCAGCTCGACAGGCGTCTAGCCAGACTGCAGTAGCGTTATCACATGCATTAATTATCGTACAATTTACTTTCATAGGACATTGACGATGACGAATGTATTATGAGCTGCGAGTTTCTGAAATCTATACATAGGTATAAAATTGGTGAATGCCCTCTGCCAGAAACGGCAACAGGATTTGCAGCAGCTTGCGTCGAGGAATGTTCCTTTGATACTGAATGCAGTGGCAACTTGAAGTGTTGTCCAAATGGTTGTGGACAAACCTGTCAGGATCCAGAAAAGTTGTACCAAGGTACAATAATGAGTTCATTGCCACATATGCACTTGTAACCCATTAAGTTGCTTATTTTGAAAAATAACCCACAATGTTTTATTTGGCACACATGTCTGTCTATGTCTGTGTCGTCTTCGTTGTTATTCTCATTGTTATTTTGAAAACCTTACAATTTACAATATAATAATTTCATTATGTGATGTGTTGTTATGTAGAAATTAGTTTTGTCTAATAATTGTCATTTAATTTATGCAAACTCATCATTGGAGTGAATAATTTCATCTAGTAATTCTATTCGTTCATCATATGTATACCATATTTGGCGAGTTAGTAACTTATCTCCAATAACAGCTCATATGTAAGCCAAACAAATTTGTTTGTAGGGCATTTATGTATTTGCGTGCACTTCTAATAGAGGAAATACTGTATTTGTCTTGCATGTCCTTGTATGCATGGTAGATATTATTTACTTAGATTGCTGAATTTTGTATGATTGATTTTTTTTTTTTTTTTTTTAAAGGTACGCCATATAAGCCATCTATTGTTCCATATGTAATAGAAACAACCAATACAAAGTCATTTATGGTGACTTGGCTTCCACATGGTAAACAGAATGATAGTTCTGTTGTTTATGTGCTAGGAATGCGGGAAAGACTTGGTGAGCCTTCTCGTCACTCAATAGCCGATTGGATAGCAATAAAACAGGTAATACATGCCATTTGTCAAAAGAACAAAGTACAGTGTCAAATGTTTTTCGGCGCTATAAATATTCTCAACAAAATATTATTTTCAATAATTTCTTCATTCATTTTGCATTAAAATTCTTATTCCCTATTGGCTTTAAGTAATAATGAAATGTACTAGAGGTTTATTTTTTGAAAAAAATATGGAAATCATTATGCATTGTTGCTTTGGAAGGTGACAAAAGTTTCAAATGTACTGTTTCAAATGATTATTATTAAAAAGATTACAAACAAAAATGTTTGGTTTTATATGACTTTGACAGAATGTCAGAAAAACATAAAATTAACCAAATTGATTTTGCAAGTTTATTGAATGCCTTCTTGCATTCATACTTTGCAATCTCTCTAACCTCATTTCATGTTTCCCTGATATTGTACATGATTTCATGTTTGCCTATTTTGAGTACCAAACGTAATTGCTTCATCCATTCCTATGAATCCTATAAGGAATGATTTGATTGGGTGTGCAAGAACCTGGATCTATCAATCACTGTAACAACATTTCACATCAATTTCAATTTTAAGCCAATAGATCTTTTCATTTTATATCGACGTCACCTTTGATTGCCTGTGGAAACACGTCACACCACGTAACTCTGTGTTCCATTTACTACGTGCCATAGTTTGATTTTAACAGTGCATACAGATTTATAGGGGAATTCCACCAAGGCATAACAGTGAAGCGAAGACTGAATTAATGAACCCTAGCTGGTGAAAATGATGTAAAAGATGAAGTTTAAAATTTTAGTTTTAACAATTTGGCTTTGCAATACATATACATATGTATGTAAAACGTACAATAACTATTTCCTATTTCTTACATTACAGACGACTGATATGGTTGTAAATGTGAACAATGTGTGGCCAGGAAGGTGGTACGAGTTCAGCGTAGCGGCTGTCAATAGTAATGGTAGCCGTGGATTCACAGAGCCTAGTGTACCATGTACGCTTGGAAGAGGTTGTTATGCTTCACTGTTACATGTTTATCGTTTAGTTTGAATAAATTAAATGAAGTTCCAATGTTCATTACAATGTTGCATATTCGGCGTATTAGTTGTTTAAACCTGTGTTTTAAAGGGTTTGCGTTGTGGAAATCCTTTCTCAAAATAATTTCAAGTGTGGAATTTTAGTAACATTATAGTAATACTTGTCACAATGAATGCCCAGTTCAGTTTTTCAAGATAATCGGGAAGGAAATTGTGATTTTTTTTTTTTTTTTTTTTTTTTTGTGCTTAGATCCATCTCCTCCGTTTCCACCTATGAACTTAACCCAGGGCAAAATGGAAGCGTCCAGCACACGAATTAATTGCTATGTAATGTGGGAGGCACCTAAGCACTCTGACTTACCTATTAGGAGGTATCGAGTGTATTACAGTAGAAGACTTGATGACGTGCATGCTGTTTACATGGATTTACATGAACATCGTAGAAGCGTGCCTGGGGTAAGTTGATACGTTGTCCACTGTATGTTTATGTGAAGAAAACCTGCTATATATAAATAAATAAACGTTGATGAAACATTTGTGACTTACTGAACAAAAAAAAAGCAACCTTCTACTGTGCTGCTCACATAAATATTTTTATGACTCGTTATTATTATTTAAACAACATATTTTATGTTTCAATTAACATAAACACACAACTGTACTTCAGGATAACAAAAATCACAGCTGGCGTTATAAAAGTATTTTTAACATGCTCGTACTATATTGAAGCTCGCAAAGTATGTTGTTGTTTTTATTATCTTCGTTGTTTTTATTGTTGACAAATATCAATATGTGTTTTTTTCAGGATCAGCACTATGTTAAACTAGAAAATTTATACGCCGACTCAACGTATTATGTTGAAGTGCAGGCATTCTCGCAGTGGGGAAAACAAAAACTAAGAAGTAACAGAACTTCCTTGATGCTCACTACGCGGGATATTGCACAAGCTGGTAAGTCGCCTAACGTAGATTAGGCTGTGTGTTATTCATTTTTTTCATCAGTTTATTCAATGGCTGCAATAAAATTATTTTTTTATTCTTATTATATCTATTATTTTACTCTTATTTTGATTACATATTGTTAATCACATGTGACTGATTTGTCGTATCTTCGTTTAATGTTTAAGATGAGCCACCAAATGCATATAGAGGCCACAAAAAGATTCATTCTGTTCCTCCTGGTCCTTTAGAAGGCGTCACTGTGGAAGTGCCATTCTGGCATCACGGTGACCTCAAGGCAAGAGTCCACTGGGGCCAGCCACAAAGTATGTATCTCTCTAAATTGCAATACTAGTATCTTAATCCTGTAGTGGAAGAAAAGAAGGTTAATCTCTCTACATGATGGTTTATCTTCAGTTTACTAGTATTTTTTTTTATGGTTGTTTATATGTTCCAAATTTATGAAATGTGCGTTAAACCATTTGAGCGCCATTTTCAACTTTTGGCACCTACAAAATAATTGTGTACAGTTTTCTTCTGCTCACATGAAATGTTGATAAAAAATGAACAAACTTTTGATCGAAAATTAAAGCATTATCTGAAACTGTCTGTATGGTCCAAAATGATGAGATTTCGCGACAAGTTTACAAAATGTCAAAATGTGAGATTTGGACATACGGCAACACTCTCAGGTTTGCATGAAACGACAACAATGTTGAAATTGTTTTTGTGAAGTCTACAGTTTTATCTCTACCAGAAGCACATCTCAAATAGAAGTTCATATAAACCAAAGTTAACGTATTTTGACCGTAGAAAAATCTCTGTAATTTACGTAAACATATGCTTTACTAATAGAAAAAATATGGTACATGTATGTACAAGGAGTGAACTGCCTTTTGTATCACAGACTGTCTTGCTCTGTCAGAATTTTGTTATCAATCATGCATGTAGCAGGAATTTGTTCTATCAGTGATGGAGTGTACACGTATAACACTTTGCAGTCAATTCGCAGTTAATTTAAAGAGGACTAACGCTACAAACGATAAAGACTTGACAACTACTTATTAGTTTATCACTAAAGAAACAGAATTGCTATCATAACTACCGTGATATTGAAACCTGCATCTGAGAATTTTTTTTTTTTCTCCTGCATATTGATTATACCATAGACCTTCCAGTAGAGGGATACGAAACTGCAGTATTTTCTTTGATGTTAGATGGTTTTAAATCCTGTAACATTTTCTACTGGAGAGTCTATGATTATACTATGCAATTATAAACTTTTTTTTCTTTTCTTTTTTAAATAGCTGGTGGAAAAACAAACAAGTTTTTAATTTACTGGGGTACTAGTACATGTTTGGGTTTAAAGAGTTTTTCACCTATGGAAGGTGCTACATCACACGTGAGTATAGAGTTGGAATAAGTTAATGGATCTTTTATACTTATGTTACTTTGTGTAACGACTGACCTAAGTAGTATAATCTGACAGGGTCCATAGCGTTGGGAAAATCCTTTGAAAGTCTTTGGATTTTTTGAGGTGTGGAAGGTCTTTGAGTTGTCTTTAAATTACAGGAAAAATAGAAAAATCTTTAATTCATTTTTAGAAAGGCCCGTTTTCTCCAGGTAACTACCATATCCTCAGAACTGAATTAAAGGTCAAAATGTCTGGGGGGTGCAAGAAAGTTTGGAAAAAAGTCTGGAAAAGTCTTTGAAATCATAGCTCTTGGTGCTATGGACCCTGTCTGAGGTATAGCAGATCTGTTCGCGTGTACGTCATAAATGTAAAACTGAAAAGCCGAACTGATGTAGTACAGTAATGGCTTAATGGTTTCTAATTTGTTGCTTCTGCTGATAAAAAGCCATCTCTGATATGTCAAAAAGACATTCCAATAACTCGTAATTGCTTCAAATAAGACAAGGCAACTAAATTCAGCATTTTTGACAAATCTCTGCATTGATCTATGATCGTTTATGCCTTGACAACATTAACCTATTCACCACCAGACTTTCTCGCCCACATTTTTCTGCACTTTTTTTCTTCTGGAAATGAAGCCTAATTTTGGAGCCAACAGACAAAACTTGAGTCAATTTTCAGTTTGCCCCAATCTTCTGAAAGCATGTGCAGACTATAAAAGGATCATTTTGTGGATTTGTGATGAGGGAATTAACTGGTGGTGAAAAAGTTAAATAGACATAGGGCAGATCTCTTTAATTGTTAGGGGCGTTTCCCTACAGTTGATCATGTGTTAAATCACAATACATACAGAGAAAATATGAAGACTTACAGATGCCTGCTATCGTTGCTATATCTATGTCAGTGTTGTCCTTGCTGATTTCTTTCCCTCATATACTCGCTTTTTCTGTTCTTCCTCTTACCTCTTGTCTCGTCACTCTGATGGCTTTCATGGCCTTTTCTGCCTTCTTCTTTCTGATGTTTAGAGCCAAGACAACAACCTACCTCCACCAGTCAAAGGGGCGACAAGCTTTGTAAGTTACACTATCAAAGTGTTTCTGCTTAGTTCAGCATCTGCATGTGGTCTGTGCTGTCAATTTTTTTGTACTTTAAATTCACGCCTCCTCTGTGTGTATCATAAATGTTGAAACAATCCTGCTATTTAAATTTGTTCCCAGTGTGTCTTTTCAGAATATAAATTCAGAATTTTATCTATCATTACTATTTTCAAATCAAGTTGCTCTGTATTGCTTTCCTTTCTGTGCTCGTGTTGCAGAACTTCTGTCACACCTTCATATTGCAGTAATCAGCGCTGTTCCAATGATCGCTTTATTTTCTTAAGGCTTGTCTGATTCCTATACAAGGAATATAAATTGCATTGGCCTTATACTGAATCTCAGGAATTCACATAAGTGCATGAAATACTAATAGAGCAAATACGGTACATTATATCCTGTAGAATAAAAACATATTTTTTTTTTTTCAGGATAAGTTCTTTGATATTTACAATCTGTTATTTCACTGCCAGTACGAAGTTAAAATTAAACCTGTAGCGATTGATGGGGTATTTGGTCCCGAATCTGTAGTTCATTTTTTCACCCCATTGTGCTCTGAAGTAGAAGTGAAAGGAAGAAGTCTTCCAAACTGTACAGAGCCAGGTAGGTTGCCACAGCAATTCCATAAAAATTGTGTTTTACTAAATATCATGCAATATCATACAAGACTTTTTTTGTGCCAGAATATTTCTAAATTTAATGTTTATCCTTTTCACTACCAATATATCTGTTTATCTATGATATGACCTACAATGAATATATAAAATTTTAGCATAATCAGTCAAAGCATGGCAGAGATATGGTACTATAACTGTATTTGTTAAAACAAAGTGGCTGCCAGTCGGCCATTTCAAATCTGATCTGAAAAACAAAATGACATGCATCAAGGTTCGATAATGTCCAATGTATGTACCAAGTTTTTTCGTCGCAATTTCCTCGGGAGGAGCGACGTCACTGAACGTTCTACGTTGCTAAGACATGCACCACTGTACCATGTATTTCTATGGGCTCTGTGCAAACTGCTGTGGAAAGCCGGTCGAAGAGCCGGTGAAAAAGGCTAAAGTCGAGGAAACAGCAACTTTAAAGTAATCCTGAACAACCAAATTTATATATATTTATATATGTTTATAATGTTATCCTCTCAAAGGCCACGCTGTTGTTGCTAAAAGCCGAATTACGAGTGTCCAAGCGTCATATTTTAATATTAATCCAATTTCATGCAAGAATTGTGTATGGGTGTTTTGTAGTTTGTTTTACGACTACTCTATTGTTCATGAAAGTTGCTGTGAAGTTCATTAATATTCATAAATATTTAATTACCCCAGTAAATGTGGAATGCAATTTCGGGGAAAACTACTCTTTGGAAATAGCAAAAATATTCACAATATTCCTTGTTTCACATTTTTGTCTCTATTTTTTTCAGATGTTAATATTTTTCTAAAACCACAAAATCTGTCGTATATATTTGTGGTCGCTGACAATGCAGCCAATATGACTGGGCAGTTTCACTGGAAAGCACCTAAAAACAGAGCAGATACTGTGTTGGGGTACAAAATCACATGGGCAGAGAAGATGCCTTTGCCTGAGGGTTTACAAGGACAGGAAGGTTTTCCAGTTGTAGATCGACGAACAGAAAATGCAAAAACACTTCCACCGGTTAGTATTAACACTTTTTTCCTTCTTTTTGAGCTAAATATAACTTGTGTAATCGAACGCTGCAAGCTTTTCAGTCACATATGTGTTCAATTCTGCGCCGAGTAGAAGATTGAATTTTCTACTTCTGAATTAGTGAGAATAATGAATTATTGTATGATTATTTTAATGCTTAAATGAGAATTTGACCTCATGCCAGGAAACGAAATTGACGTCAGCTGGTGTTTGAGTAAACTCAACAGTATATTGAAAATGTTGAAAGTCTTGTCTTTAACCAGTTAAATTGTAAAAGAAGTTTATGTCAACTTTCACAAAATAAACCTGTTATACTTATGTTAAAAAAAATTTCTATATATATTTAAAAAAATTTGAAATCAAATATATATTTTTTAAAAAAATTTTAAAATGTTTGCACAAAAATTTTGATGGGAAAAATGATTGTCTTCAAAGGTTGGCAGTCACACGTGACCTCTATATTTTTGTTCTGTGTATTTCAATGGTATTTACATCTTACTTTTGCAGGATAAGCTGTCGTACAGTGTGAGAAATTTAAAAAGCAACTGCGAGTATGTTTTCCAAGTTCAAGCTATTTCAGAAAATGGCACTGGAGCCATAATGCTAAGAGAGTTCAGAACACCTTCTGTTCATAAAGAAATTTTTACTGGTGAGTTGTTTTGCTCTAATTTTAATGCCAAAGTGAAAAAATATAAAATGTCATTAAATTCTTGGAGCATGGCTAATTCTCTGCGTGCTGTCTGCTTTTTGTTGATGACAGTACCATGCAATTTGTTTTTGTAGATAAAAGATAATTTATGTAGAATCTATGACCTATAAAACACTTGTTAAATGTATAGGTCAACTGATGATGACTTCATTTAAAATTCGTGCTATTTGTAGGTAGTCATCTTTCGTTCACACTCTTGACTTACCCAGAACTGACTAACCAACCCATTTGATATTTGTATATCAATAGGTATTCACCATTCACGGCCGCCGTGGACTGAAATTGTAACGTCAACTATTGTAAACAGCAATGACGATGGTTCAGAGGTCCAAATGGAGACAATTACTATTCCATCCACTAAAAACTTCAGAGCCAGTAGTGGCGGTGTGTCCATATCCGTGCCATATCTCCTTGGGACTCTGCTTCTTCTGTGTATTTGCTTTTTACGAGTTTCGTGAAACGTTACCTACTGCCTGGATCTCCCCTGTTCCGTGTCCTCCAAAATCAACAGCTATTGACTATTTCAGTGGGAGAAACAATCTGCTCAACTTCAGATGGGACATCCATAAGGTGTTTCGGAAGAATTCATGGTGGAGTCATGCATTTACAATTTTGATACTTTTTATTTAAATTTGAAAAAACAATGCATTGTTATTTAGTTTTTTTTTTTTTTTTTTTCAATTGTTGTTTTCTGTATAACTGTTATATCAGTATTATATTTTTTGTAAGTAAGCTAAATTTTTAACTTTTTACTTTTCTTGTGTGCCAAAGATGCAGAGACATTTTCCTGGAGTTACTGTCACTTTGTCTTGTCAGTCTCAT